AAGTCTGGATGCCCTATTCTTACTGAAAAGTCTCATTTTTCATCAGATATAGATATATGGATATATCTGTCTTGGGCAGCTAGGTGGCGCAATGGATAGAGACCAGGCCTGGATTCAAAAAAACTAATTTTCCTGAGTTCAAATCTGGCCTCAGACACTTACTAGCTGTGTGATCCTTGGGAAGTAAATTAACCTTGTTTGCTTCAGTTTCTTCAGCTGTAAAATGAGCTAAAGTAGGAAATACAAAGCACTCTGGTATCTTTGTCAAGCAAATCCTAAATTGGGTCACAAATAGGTAGGCATGAATGAAACAATCAAACAACAGCAAATAGACATATTTACATAGATAGATGATATGTGGATAAATTGATAACTCCATTTCAAATTAATTCTTTTCCTTCATAATCCTATGTATTTTATTTCATGTATTTAAAAACAATATTCAGAGAAGGGGTGCATAGGCTTTACTAAACTTTCAAAATGATTCATGACAAATAAGCACATGCAAACAAATGCACACACAAAGAGTAAGAATTCATTTTTTTGAAGATATGCCTGAATTCAGTGAGAAAAAGTAATTAAATGTCATGAATGATTCATTTCAATTAAATATTTTTATAATTCTATCTTTTTCCTTTGACACTGGAGCCTCCATATAATAAATTATAGGAAAATATTCCTTCCCTAATATAGAAAGGAGATATTTAATACAGCATCTTTTGGCATTTATTTTATTTGTAGAAATCTTTAGAATTGAAATATTCCCTCAAAAAAATGTTCTGGAAAGAAATATGGCCTCCCCATCTTTAGCACCTTCTATAAGGGTTAGTGTTTTGCAAAGTGAGTATTCTAATCACCACATTTTGATATCATGAATCTTTTTTAATTTATTTTTTTTTTAGTTTTCAACATTCCCTTTTATAAGATTTTGAGTTCAAAAATTGTCCTCCATCCCTTTCCTCCTCTGTCTCTTTGCCCCCTTCCCAAGATGGCATGCAATCTGATATAGGCAATACATGTACAGTTATTTTAAACATATTTCCATATTAGTTATATTGTAAAGAAGAATCAGAATGAAAGGGAAAAACCATAAGAAATAAAAAAAGAAGCAAGAAAAGAGAAAAATAGTATGCTTTGATCTGCATTCAGATTTTATAGTTCTTTCTCTGGATGTGGATAGCATTTTCCATCATAAGTCTTTTGGAATTGTCTTAGATCATTGAACTGCTGAGAAGAACTAAGTCTATTAAAGTTGGTCATTGTACAATGTTGCTGTTACTGTGTAGTGTTCTCCTGGCTCTGCTCATTTCACTCAGCATCAGTTCATGTAAGTCTTTCCAGGTTTTTCTGAAATCTGCCTGTTCATCATTTCTTAGGGAACAATAGTATCCATTATATTCATATACCACAACTTGTTCACCCATTTCCCAATTGATGAGTATTCCCTCAATTTCCAATTCTTTGCCACCACAGAAGAGCCTTGTTATAAATAATTTCCTACGTGTGGGTCCTTTTCCCATTTTTATGATCTTTTTGGGATATAGCACTAGAAGTGATATTGTAGGATCAAAGGGTAGGCACAGTTTGATTGTCCTTTGGGCATAGCACCAAATTGCTCTCCAGAATGATTGGATGAGTTCACAACTCCACCAAAAATGCAATTTCTATATGTGCCATCATGTGATAAAAATGAAGTGAATTAAACCTTTTTATTCTTTTCCTAGGAATCCTCATTTAGGGGGATAGAGAGAGATTATCATCATAGAATTAAGCATACAAAATGAAGAATATGCTTTGATAGATCCTTTCTTCCATTATTCCACAAGTCAGCAAGTTTTGAACGAACTTACTTGGGAGCCCTGACAGGTGCCTGGAGGGAAGAATGGCAAAATGTATTCTCCTTGTGTGTCAGGATGCTGAGTTGTTGTAAGAACCTTTGATACAGTTTTTAAATTATTTTCACTTTTAAATTGGCCTCATTAAACTATATATGTCAGACTTTTTGGGGAAAAAAAGGTTAGGTCAGCAAATCAGTTTTCTCAACTGACTGATCAGTAAGGTTACATAGTATGTGACTGGGTATATGCTTAGTGAACATGGATCAGAATCAATCATTGTTTCAGTGCATTCTTATGCAACACAAATTTTGTATTAAATTAAAAGAAAATTCATTTACAAGTAGACAAAAAATAGTCTTTTTTGCCTCTACTTTTAGTTCTCCAACTCCAATTGTATTATACTTATTGATGCTATGCTTAAATTAAAGATATCTTATATATTCAACTCAATTTCAAAAACATCAATGAATCCAGTAACAAAATGATTCTAGAATAATCACATGGTCAGTTGCAACAATTATGCACACCTAAATTCTGAATACAAGTTCACATTCTTAATTACTAAGTGGAAACAGTCGTATGCAGAATGTGATTTTTTTTGAGGGTGCAGGTAGTCGGTCTGTCTCCATCCAAACACGGCAATGAAGTTGCTCAAAGACAGAACAATAGTTATTCAGTAATTTCTTGTGAGAAGCAGACATCATGGAGATGGCAGGGATTTGGTGATCACAACAGAGGGAGGGAGGACCCAGTTTATAGACTCTGTCTTGTACTCAACAGGGACAAGGAAATCAATGAGGTTAGCCCTTTTCCTCATCTCCATGATCCGTACAGTCAGTCCTTGTAATGAATTGAGGTGCAGAACAGTTCAGACACACTTACCTTTGAAGTAGAGACAAGGAAGATGGTCAGAATGTCCATGCATGAAGATATATATTGGTCAACTAGTATTTCCAAATCAGTCTTCCCAGATGGATGAATAGGACACCAGTCTAAATTGCGAATCTTACCCATTGTTTAACATTGGGTCCGCTACACCAAACATCATTTTCCTCATTTAAATAATGAGAAGGCTAGAATAGATTTTTTCTGAGGTGCCTCCTAAATCTAGATTTTTACACAATTAGTGATATGTTACACAACAACAACTGGGCTCCCACTTTTCAAGGTAATATTTTCATGTCTCCCTACCCAACTTACTATTCCACTCTCCACAGCCAGTTCTTCCAAATCTTTTCATCTCTCTCCAAAGTTCCTACAGTTTCCCCTACACATCACCTCTCAACTATGAACCTTACCTCATTTTACTGAAAAAAAAAAATGAGGCCATTTACCAAGATCTCCCTTTTCTCTCCTCCTCCTCCTCATGTCACATTTACCTGATGAATTCTACCAGCGTCTCCTCCTTCAACTCACCTCACATGAAGAGGTAATTCTTCTTACAAAGGCAATCTTTTCTGCCTACAAACATGTCCATGCCTGCAATACCTTCAAAAAGTTCTCACTTAAGCCATTCATTCCTACTTAGTATCATTCCTTGCCTCTTCTCCTTTTTATGGCTAAATTCCTTGGGGAAACTATAATCATTGCCTCCGCTTCCTTCTCACTCTTCTTTTTTTAAACTTTCTATAGACTGACTTCTTACTTCATCATATAACCAAACCATCCTCCCAAAATAAATAATAATCTCATAATTGCCAAATATAATGGCCTTTGTTTTCAATCTTCATCCTTCTTGTCTTTTCTGAAGGTTCCAATATTGTCACTTACCCTGTTCTTTTTGATAAATTCTTCTTTCTAGTCCTGCCCCCTCTTCTACACTGTTTTCAGTTGGAGATCTCCTCAGCCTCTTTGATTTCTATTGTCATCTTTAGTTGATGATCTGCTTATAAAACCTCAAACTCTCTCATGACCTTCAGACACATCTCAAAATGCCTATTATGCATCTCTAATTGAATAACCCATATATATGCTAAACTCAACATGTATAAAAACTGAAGTCATTACCTTTCTCATAAATCCTCCCATCTTCCTACTTTCCCTATAACTGTTGAGAGAGCCACCATTCTCCCAATCACCCAGGCTTATAACCTAGGAGTCATCCTTAACCTCCCCCGCCCACTTGCCTTTGCCTCCATACCCCACATTTCACCTTTGTAACATATCTCAGATAGGCACACTTCTCTCTTTGAACAGTGCCAACAACCTGTGTGAGGCCCTCATCTACTGACTGGACTGACCGTAATATTTTGATGGTTGGTCTCCATGCCTAAATTCTCCATCATTCCAGTTCATCCAAAACTCCTACGATATTTTGATTCCAACCCCCCCCCCAATTAATTTTCCTAAAGGACAGATCTGTCACTTTAATCTACTTTGCCATTCATTAAATTCTCATGGTTCCTTATCACAGTCAAGATGAAATTTAAAAGTCACAAGGTGCTCCTATCCAAATTTATCAGTCTTATTATAATTTACTCTGTGATATAGGTACACTGGCCTCAATGCCACTTCTTGCACTAGACAATCTATTTCCAGACTCCAGGCATTACTTCTGGTTATTCCCCATTGGTTTCCCTGGATTCCTTTAAGGGATAGATAAAATCCAAACTTCTATAGGTACCCTTTCTTGATCCTCTACAACCTCCCATTGGTAGATTGTTTTTAATTTATCTTGTATATAACTGGATTGTACCTTCTCATTTGTATACTGTCTGCCCTATTAGAATGTGAGCTCCTTGAAAGTAAGGACTGTCTTTTGCTTTTCTGTGTATTCTCAATATTTAGCACAATTTCTGTGTATGTGTTAGGTGTTTAATAAATGCTTTTTTGAATATTCAGTCCTTCACTCCTTGTCAATCATGTAACTAGTTCTCCAGCAATTTTTTCCCAAGATTCTTGTTTCATTTTGTTCTGGTTTTTATTTCTTTCTTTGTTTTAACTTTCAATTTAATGATAATGACTTCTCTGGTTCCAGTAAGTCTTCAAGGAATGTTGTCTCAGCAATAGGCACAACCCTAATGTTAGTAGCCCATTGATATATACTGTTCCACATATGATCCTGGCTAGAGGTCATAAATGCCAACACTGCCTCAGCAGATGGAAATATCTCTGGGTTATTAGTTAAGGAAAATATTTGTGAAACAGAAATAGTTTACTTACACATGTTATGTAGGCAGAAAATGTCTCTTGTCCAGGCAGGGTTATCACACCAAACTTGATTCTTCTGCCTTTCCCCCAGCATAGTCCTGACAAATGTAGGGAGGGGAGGAGGGAAGTTAGACATATGCCAAACACAAGCATTTTTCACATGGTTTACTCTCAGCCATTGGCCTCCAATAGATACTTTTTAAATTAGGAAATTGGTGACTTTAACTTCAGTAAGGAAGATGGAGCTATAACTTCCCTTTTGTAACTGTTTAAAAAAAAAGATGTCTTAGGTCCAATCTATTGTTTTCCCAAAAACCTAAGCCATTATGTTTTTCAGAAGAGAATGGACAATGGCTACCTAATAATGATAATGATAAGAATAATATTAATAATAATACCATCTTCCCTAAAGCATTTCACTTTAGGTAGCTTCACCTATAAACTCAGTTAAACTCTATACATCAATTATTCTTTAATTTGACTAATTTCCAGTTTTTTCCCCTCCCAATGAGTATATATTTTTTTTAAATTACATATTAGCAACGTTTCCTCTTTCGTTGAACTCTTTTTAAAAGATAACTCAAGACAAATTTATTAATGGTCTACTTTGTGTAAGATCCTTTCCAGGTCTAATTATCTATGACTTTGCTATCCATAAGTACAGATCACATCAATAGAGAATCCTGACAATCCCAACATTATTAAATACAAGAAAGGTGCCTGACTTTGTACTCTTTTTAATAGGGTAAGCAATAGTATAGCTGGGTCAAAATATCTTTTTGTGTTTAATTCTCAGTTAATTTCTGGAATGGTTGCATTCATCAGCAGTTCCACCAGTGTGCCTATTTTCCCTCGGCCCCTTCAATATTCATCATTTTCCTTGCATTTCCCCTCTTTGCAAATCTGGTTGGTGTGAGGAGTATCTCAGAATTGTTTTAATTCCAAATGCTCTAATTTGTAGTGCTTTAGGACATTTTTGCATATGGCTAAGCATAATCTAGGTTTCTTTCATTGAGGATTGTTTGTTAATATTCTTAGACTATTTTTCCAGGGAGGTTTGGTTCTTACTCTTATTGATATAAATTTAAATCCTTATGTACTTTGGGAAGGAGAGCAACCTTTATTAGAGAAAATTGATGTATTTTCTCCCAAGTTAATTGCTTTCCTCTTAATCTTAGATTTATTGGATTTATTTGCACAAAACCTATTTAATTTTATATAATGAAAACTATCCATTTTATCCTGATTATCTCTATCCATTGTTTCATTACAATTATTTGTTGGGCCAAGGCAAAAACACTTATGAAGTGCTTACTAAGTGCCAGACACTGGAATTCATGTAGGCTGTACAAAGTAAGGCAAAAATGAAGTCTCTGCCCTCAGGGAGGCTGCATTTTAATGAGGGAGACAAAATTTAAACAATCAAGTTCATGCAAAATACAAAGATGAGATGGAGCCAATTCTGAAAGGAAAAGGGATTGATAGCTAGAAAGACTTGAAAAGTCATGATGGAGTAAGAATTTCACCTAAGTCATGAAGGATGTCCAAAAATCTCAAATGCAGAGATATGAGGGGTTAAAATATTCCAGGAAGGTGGGGATGGCCAGGGCAAAGACGTGGAGATGATAGATGGAATACCATGCTCGAGGGATTTATCTCCTTCACACACCAAATGTTTACTTACAATTTAAGGTATCCTCACCCTGCCTCACCCATCCCCAGAAAGATCAAGTGCTTCCCAACTCAAATTTGCTTCAGGTTATTTTCTCAAAAAGCAAACATCTAGGTCTAAAAAAGATGCTGTCTGTGAGTGTCCTAAAAAAATGGGTGCTACTGAAAATTCTGTTAAGTCATTGGCCTGAGAGACACCAAGGAGCCAGTTAAAACAAAGATGACACCACCTCCCACTTACACTCTGTCTGTGTGAAACCATCTTCATCAAGGACTACTGAGATGGTCAAAGTGCTTAATTCTGAAGTGACATGCCAGGCTTAATTAAGCAAGTTTTATTCATATTGCTAATGGAAGTGATCAGCGTGTCATCTTTCCACTGAGAGACACATTTGTGCAGGTATTAATTGGCTTCTGGTTGGAAAGTGATCTTGTTTTTAGGTGCCCTCTAGAGCTGTCCCAGATGGACTCTCACAGCGGGTTGAGGCAAGAAGCAGGGGGCAGAATATCTCTAAAGTCCTCACATCAGCCATGCATCAAAAGTGCTAGAATTTAAACAGCAACAAGCCTAGCTAGGCAAGTGGACAGATGGCTCCACAGAGGACATTAATGATGGTCTGTCTGTCCTCCCAGGAATGGCAGGCCTTGTCAATGTGGGGCATTTCACTGCAGACAAAGCATAGTGAAATCTGTCTCCTTGCAGATTCTTTTTTAGACAAACTTAAACATTTGTGGTACTTGTTACATAGCAAACTGTCCCCTGTCTCCATGTACCAGATATAGTATCATTGAGTAATAAAATGTTAAAGTTCTTAGGCTTCTCAGTAGCCACTGAGTCCAACCCATCAGAGAGGCAGCATGGTATACTGCTACTGTACAGGGAAGAAGGACGACTTGGGCTTGAATAATACCTCGGTTACTAGCTGTGTGATGCTGGCAAGTCACTATTCTGAGCTGCAGTCATGTCAACTGTAGAAGGAGGAGGTGGGACTCAATAAACTGTAATCTTTTTGGCATCTCTAGATATGATGTTATCATTCAAGAATCTATAAAATATTTGGAAAGTGTGTTCATTCAGTTTCTGCTCAGAATTTCAGAAGATTCAAACCTACTAACACACTCAAGTCAACCACCACTTTCAGGTATCTCTAATAGTCAGATTTCTTTCCCTTATATCAAGACTAAATTATTATTATTATTTTTTTTAGGCAATTGGGGTTAAGTGACTTACCCAGGGTCACACAGCTAGTAAGTGTCAAGTAATTTGGTCTGAGGCCAGATTTGAACTCAGGTCCTCCTGACGTTAGGGCCGGTGCTCTATCCACTGTGCCACTTAGCTGCCCCAAGACTAAATTATTTTTATAGCTTTTGAATATTTCCAAAGCCTTTTACCTTCCTGTCTATCTAGTTGAAGAGGTCCAAAAGGCAGTTGGAAATGAAAGCCAGGAGACTGGGGCCAGAAAGGTGGGTTTGAGTCATCAGTATAGAGATGGTAATTAAATCCCTGGGTATTGATGAGATTACTGAGTGAAGTAGTATAAAGGGAGAAGAGAGAAATGCTGAGGACAGAACCCTGAGATACACCTACAGTTAGACTGCACAATCTGAAAAAGGATCCAACAAAGGAGACAGAGTAGTCAGGTAGAAGGAAAACAAGGAGAGAGTAATGTCCCAAAAACCTAGAGCAAAGAGAGGAGGAGAGAATGATTAACAGTTCCAAAGGCTGCAGAGGTGTCAAAGAAAATAATGACTGAGAAAAGTCTATTGGATTTCACAACTAAAAGATCATTTGTAAATTTAGAGAGAACAGTTTTGGTGAAATGGTAAGGTCAGATGCTACATTGTAGGAGATTTAGAAGTTAGTGAGAGGAGAGAAAGTGGAGACACCTGTTGGTGTAGTGGAGGTGGGTTGCGGAGTTTAACTACAAAGGGCAGAAAAAAAAAAACTAGGGCAATAATTAGCAAGAATGGAAAACTTAAGTGAAGGTTTTCCTTTTTCAGGTTGGGGGGAGACCTGTATATTTGTGGGTGGCAAAAGTTAGCCACTAGAAGAAGGAAGAGATTGAAAATAAGTTAGAGTAAGGATGATAGAGGTGGCAATCTCTTGGAGGAGATAGGATGCAATGAGATTACTTGAATGAGTAGAGAGGTCTAGGTTAGCCTCAGTAAGGAGTAAAGGAGTAAACACTTCATCATTTAAAGGAAGGAGAAAGTGGCACAAAGCACTTGAACAAGAATATGCTATTTTAGTCACTAGGGGATCGACCTATTAAGATCACAACTCTTTTCTGGCTCAGTAGATGGCCCTTGAATTTTTCTGTGGCTGCATAATTCATCACTCACTAACCAATCTGCCAAAGATTATCTGTGAGTTTAACTAGGGTAGGTCTCAGATGAGATATTCACTGTTGATTAGCAGGGGCAGTCCTACATAAACCCTTTCCAGGCTGGTACCAACTGTAACAAACTTCAGCTTGGTAGGCAGCCTAATACCTCTTCTCTCCCACACTTTCCTTCAGAGCCTCATGAACCCTGAGCTATCTGTGACGATGTGCACGTCCATCTCATCAATGTGCACATCCCTCAAAAGTATATGGCCAAGGTAAGTGAGCTTATCTATGGCATTCAAAATTTCTCCATTTGCTGTAACCAGTGGTTCCACATATGGATAGTATGGTGCTGGCTGGTGGAGAAACTGGTTTTCTTGCTGTTAATTGTTAGGACAAAGTTAGCACTAGCAGCAGAGAATCGATCCATACTTTGGTTCATCTCAGCCTCAGAGGCTGTGCTTGCAAATCATGCAACTACACTCCTTCCAATTTTGTCTTGGCTTGTATCCTTTTCAAGTTAAATGATTTACTGTCAGTGTGATAGCTGCCCTTGATGCCATTTTTGAACTCACTGAATTCATCCTGAGGGGGTAGAGGCCCTAAAAACCCTCATCTCCACCCCAAACTTCCCCTGCACTCTCCCACATGGCCCTGATGTTTCCTCAGGCTCATCTCAGTATAATTCTTTGAATTGTCCTTTCATTGTGGCTTTGACCACAATCTCCAGTTCCCGGTTGCCTCTGGCCCAGCCCTCTTTGTCTGCACCTGGCCCCACCCTAGACCACATCCCTTGATTGCACCTAGACCTCTTCCTCATGTCCCAGGTGCCTGGTGTTTGTCTGGGGCACCTGGCCTTTCAAGGTCCTTCTCTCTTACCTCCCAGTTACTCCTGCTATTGTCACTATAAATGTGTCCATTTTTCCCCCATTAGATCACTCAGATTCCTTAAGAATCTGGACAGTTTGTTAATAGAAGCATCACAAAGCATGGGTTCTTAAAATCTGGTCCATGCCATTTGGTATTTTAATGAACCTTATCTCTGGCTGAAAAGAAGGCTTGGGTAGAATTCATTCCAGGCAGCAACTGCATTGTTTGCCCTAGAATTTTGGAGTTCCCCTAGAACTCAGCATATTGGTTCCCTGATACCACAAAACTGCCTGATCTCAAGCTCTTCTCCAGCCAAGACTGGAAGGTATGTAAGCTTCCCCTCTCTCCCTATCCCCTTCTTGCCCTCTAGTTGGGGTTGCTCTCCTAGCACCTAGGAAGGCTTGGAGGTGCTTTTCAGCCCAGACACTCAGGTTCCATTTAGGTTCGGACAGTTATGAGGCTGCTTGAATTCAGCCTGATACTGTCAAGCTCTCCATTGGTTCAGTTTGAGGCCATGGACCTGGGCACACCTCCTACAGTATAGAGGACGAGTACTGACACTATCTGGAAGCTTATGCCCAATTCTGTTAATTCTCTTGGTGCTAGGGAATTGAGAAACTGCAGGTGCTTTTTGGTTCCCTGAGGCTTACTTATTACCTTTCCTCTTCACCCCTGTATCCTCCTTCATGGAGGGATTCTCTGTCCCTACATCTGGGCCTTCAAGATCCCCCTTCTCTCCAAGCTGCATGGTCACCAGATTCTCAAAGCTGGACCTAGCAGGACTTCCCCAAGATTTGCCTCTAGGTTAGAGCTGTGTGTGGGACAGCGACCCCAACCCAAATTAAACTCAGAAACTTCTCAAGGTGCAAAGTAAAGGTTACCTTTATTACAATCTCCCGATATGGTTGTCTGCTCCTTCGATACACACGGGGGAGGGGAGAGAGAGAGACAGAGACAGAGACAGAGACAGAGTAACACGGGCCGCCTTATGAAAGCAAATCTCCGCCCACCACGCAAACAAGCCTCCGCCCACCACGCAAACAAGCCTCCGCCCACCACGCCTCCACCCACCACTCTCCCTTACTCCCTTAACTGGGGGTGGGCTTACATTCTAAGCTCCAAAGTTTCTTCCCATCCTCTTAACTGGGAGGTGAGGCTTACATTCCGGCCCGAAATTCAAAGACAAGGAAAGAGGCCGGAAGCTCAGGTTGGGAGTGGGGCAGGGCTTATTCTTTCTGTTAGGTACTTAAAAACAGGGTCTAAGTGGGGGAGGATTTTGAAAGTAATAATCAAAAATTATTTGACCCTTTGAGGAGCCTTCGCTTCTGAGAGTTCATTTCTCACACTACATTCTGAACTCATTACCTTAATTACACTGAGAAGTCTTCACTGGGACATCCCATTCAGCTGAAAAAGCTTCCTCTCCAAGACCTTGAAAAGGTAAGCTTTGTGCCTAGCCTTTATGATCTAGAGAACCAAGATAAATCGTAAAACTTCAACAAAAACTTAAAATTGTTGTTCCTGTAGCCCCAACTCTGACCGGGATAAAGCTACAGGGAAAAATCAGAATAGCTAAAAACACCTTAGCAGATTCTGGAGGTCTTGTGTTTTATCATTAAGGTATTTTCAAATACCTCCTTATAACCCTGATTACTCCCTTTCTCCACTCCTTTTCCCTGGAGTCAAGAGGGTATCTCAGTTCGGGGGATTACAAACTGCCCTGGGTTTTTCTGTTAACCACTCTCATTTCAGATTAGACTAAGAAAAGGTTTGCACCTTTTTCTCCCACCTTCTAATTCACCTTCCTAGATCTGGTGAAAGGAAGGAGGGGGGAGGGGCAGCAGCTATAGCCTGTTTTAGGCCTTGGGCCCTGGGGCATCCAAGAACACCTGTAAGTACCACCCAAGTTTGGCACATCTTGCTCACCACCCCACCCCCAGCAGCCATGGGGAGAGAAGAAAGTGATCTCATTAAGGTGGTACTAGGTAAAAAGCCAGCCAGCCTCTGAACTTGGGTAAGCAAGCTTTTTTAAAGTTGTAGTTTTAACATGATAATGACAAAATGCTGATTCTCTGTGTAATTTGGAAAGTCATTCAACAAAATTGAAATCACCTGATTGATAATGGGTTCATTTCAAGTTTCAAATTGGTAAATTTTTGTATCAGTTAAGTCTGGCAACTTTTCATAATTTGGTACAGATAAAATAATTTGGCTGGAGGAAAGGAAGTGTGGGTGCTGGTGATTAGCCAGATTAGCAAGGAGGATGAAAGCCCACTACTTCCTTGCCACCAGTCCTCACTTGCTCCCTAAACCCCTGACAGTATTAAAAGTAGGCAGGGTGTGGGGATTCCTGGGGGAGAAATGAGATGTTCTTCTGGGTGGAACCAGGGAATTAGCCTTGAGGCTCCTGGGCCGTGATGACCCAGCTGAAATGCTTCATTATCCCTCCCCTTCCCTTCTGACCCACATGAGTCCCACACTCCCAGAGACTTTGCTCAAATTTAATAGCGCCCAGGAAAGGAATGGTCCATTGGCCTATTCCTGAGCCAGCTTCCCATCTCCTCATCAGGGAAACCTTATATTCTTGCCATTTAGTTAGAGGAGAAGGTTAGAAGAAGCCTTTTCCCAGCTAATTCCAAATTGTAAGATTGTTGGTAGGAAACCCCTTCTCTGGGGTTCCTGTCAATCCCCTTATTTTGTAAACTTCCTTAAAAGCTTATTCCAGTGATGCAGTTCCTAAACAATGAACTTGGGCTTGCTGAGAATTTGCAAGTTTATAAAAATGATCTTTATCTATTAGCTTTTACACCAGAAAAAAAATTAAATCTGAGATATAAGTCCTGGAAAAAATTTCCCTAAGCTGTGATTAGTGAAACTTGCTATTTGAGGTAAAGGCTCTCAGGACCATAAATGATTTTATTTTGAGTTGTCTGGATCATAATAATCCATCAGTAATCAATAGTCTAGAATCCGCTATTTGAGAGGCATGCTACAAGTTACTCAGAGAGAACGTGCTACAGGTGGGAGTTCTGCATCAGGAAAAACTGAGAGGACAATTTTAGCCTCAGATGATGATAGGATCCTCCTGGCTCAGTTTCTCCATTATGTTCCCTTGAAAAAGAATGTTACCCACCTGTCTATTCCTGAGACTGGATATGAGGTGGATTTGATATTGCATAATTGGAAAACTGTGAATTGTCTGAATTCAAACAGAGCTAAAGATGTTTTACCCTGTCATATTTGGGTCCTAAATCTTGTCCCTGTTTTATCCTTTTACAGCAGATTTCTATAATCAGAACAAATAGTTAGTAAAAGATGTAAGCATAATCCAAGTGTGTGAGATCTTGCTGTTTTGACTTGAATGTGTAGTCATTCAATACCCCAAATCATTGAAATTAAATCAGAAACCTCTTCAGTTTGGTTTGGGGAAGAGAATTTCAGTCCAATCAATTTTCTTAGAGGGAGGTAACCTATTTGGCATAATCATTATTTAAGGTATCCTCCAAAGTCTTTTTTTTTATAATTGTAATAAAAATCAGTCTCTGGCCAATGGTGGAAAACTTCTATCTACAAAAGTGTTACTTAAATTTTTGAGAAAGTAGCAAAATCAGATAATCCTGCAGGTCAAATGTAGGTGATTTTAATGGGGCTCTTGCACTTTTATTTCTGCCTATATTTGGGCCCTGCAGACTTGCTTGTCAGATTCGTATCTTCCAGACTACATGCCATTCACCTACAGATGGTAGCAAACAGTGGGTACCAGCCAATGTCTCCCCCATTGTCCCTGGATGCAGCCTATGCTTGGTTCCTGTCAGCCTCCTCTTTGGGACCCCCTCAAGGCAGAGATAGCTCTATGCCCCTTGCCAGCAGAAGCAGTTTCAGAAGATGAGACTTTTGACCCTATCCCAAAAGAATTTGGATCCCATTTGTTTGAGGGGAGAATGATGAGGCACTAATGATAGCCCCTAAAAACCTCTGGATTTTCCCACATGGCATAGGTCCCTGGTGTTCACCTGGAACACAGATGCCTTCTGAAGGTCCTTATCTGTTACCTCGAAGTCACCCAAGCTATTGGTCACTCCTTGATCACATCCAGATCTTCCCATAGTCTTTCTGTATAAAAGATTCATCTTACTTCCATTAAATTAATCAGATTCCTTAAGTGTCTGGCCCAGTTGTCAATATAAAAGTTAGAAATGTTCAGATTCTTAAAATCTTGAGCAACTTAATCAGTGTTTTAATAAACCTTGTCTCTCACTGAAAGAAGGCTTGAGTTGAATTTGAGGCAGGACCCATATCTTCTGCCCTTGAATTTCAGGGTTTTCAGCACCCCTAGACCTCAACAATTTTCCAACATCTCTAAAAGCATCAAGCTTTTAAAAAAGTATTTGACCAAGAACACAGCCCGGCTTTACTACATCAGTGAGTAAGAGAGGGCATTGTCCATTATCCAGAATTCAGCAATCATGACATCATGAAACTGATGTACAACACTGAACTACTCCAGGCAACCGAATTTTGTCATAATTTTCCATAAGCCTTCATAACTGATAGTATCAAAGCCCTTCATTACATTTATGAATGTTGTGGGTGATAATATTGATGGTGATGGTGATGATAATGGTGATATGTTTACAAGGTTGTTTTGCATGTTACTGCATATGTCAGGCTCACAAGTATGCAAAAACATTTCTGAAGGGATACTTTGTCACGGTCATGAACTCTTGATTTTCACTATATCACTTTGTTAAATCAGTTCATTAAATTATAAGTGGGCACCTTTGAAATCCATTACCCATTTGGATTTCTAGAGCTCTCTGCATTCCATAGAATGTCCTAAGAGTTCATGAAAATGGCTCAATTAGCTTATTTTTGAGTCCTATTTATAAGACATTCATGTGTTCTAGAATTTATACTGGGTACCATGCAAGTCCTCCAGTACCTAAACCTCAAGTTTTTATTATGTGACTTCTATGTGACCAAAAGTTACCAAAATGTTATGAGGAAAAATAAACAAGGAAGTAGGTGAGTGAGTGGGGGGGGGGGAGTATTTCTCCTGCCCTTAAAGCCCTTGTACTTTAGTTGATGCAGTATACATAATTATATATCCATCTATATGCAAGTACACATGAAATTCCAATATTTGACTACTTGATACACTCACTATTGTTGGATTTAGGTCCCATGTGTTGGCTTCCTCTTTTCCATCTTTAAAGAATGTGACATGATTTGGCCATCATAAACTAAGAGGCAGCAAACAGAAGCACCAGGGGAAAAAAAGCAATTATGTCTCTATGTAGCTTCCATCCCTCTCTCTTGTATATTCTATGCCCAATCTACCACCAGCCAAGCATTGGCAATGTCTCAGCTGCAGATGGATTCAGCATGGTGTGCATTGAGACCAATGGATTCCATCTGGCTTGGAAGTTTGGAGGGATGAGTATTTGTGAGCCATCCAGCCGGCAAGCAGATTTTTCCTTCTCTCTTATTTTTTAAACGTTTTTCTCACAGAAGCGATGAGGTGATTTGCCCCTGTCCATTGGCAATGACTATTATAATATCCTGGCCTTGAAGACACCAAACTGGAGCCAAAGATTCTGCAGTCCCTTTTACCACATTCCTGGCTCTTAGGCCTACAGTTTCCTTCTCTGTAACTGCATGGGAGAATGCTGGACCTGGTTAAATGGGAGGGAGGAAAGAAGGATGAAATGTACTTAAATATATACATATATTTAATATGATGGATGTTGGTAACCCTTTCAACAGCTATGACTGTTTTCAAGGGACTAGAAGAAGTAGCCACTGAAGTTATTCACTGATGCCTTATTATGGTTTGGAGTTGACCTTGGGTTCTTAGTAGCCATGCCAAGAAAACAAAATTCTGGCGCCTTTTTTTTTTCCAAACTGTAGATGCTTCAAGTGTAGAACTGTTATTGAGCTATCTCCTTTTAT